ACGCCCACTGACACCAATAAACAAGATTGCCATTACTCGGATTCCTGTATTGATATTGACCACAGAATTAGGGGTGGTGGAGGTTAGGGGTGGAGGAGGGGGGTGCGAAATGGAGGCATACGCTGAGACACAGAAGTGGAGAAATAACCTTTTATGGGCGAGGGGTATTTTGATGGGGGGTGTTTGCACAGTGCTGCAGGGAGATCATCTTCCAAGCCACATAGGCTCAGTTAGGCAGAGGTGAGTGTGCGGGGGTGGTGCAGACAGTATCAGACAGGCGGAGGTGGACACTTCGGCGCGATACACACCATTATCCTGAATGGTAGGTGACCTGAAAGCGCAGAGAAATGGCACATATATGGAAATACATGTAGACATCCCCCCAAGGAAACACATCGACTCATAAATAGGGAGCACACACTGATGTAGGTATCCAGTCATACATTACGCCAGGGTAATATACAACATGCAGGCATTCAAACGTGAGTAAAAAGCCTACACCTACACACAGAGACCCATGGGAACTCACACAAGAGCATGTATATTCAGACAAAATGCATAGCTACAGATAATCATGGACGAAGCTAGATCTGCCACGTAGAGAAATTTCCTGATGTGTGTTCATCTCACACAGCCAACTGCTACACACACACACACACACACACAAAACACCAGTCTATACACTCCTTCCTACCTTGCAAACAGCTCAAAATCATGGCACCACCTGCTATTATCATTGCTTATAAATATCCCCCCTGCCTATATTGTAGGGTATATACACAATAGGTGCCAAATATTGCTGGTCATGAGATTAGGGATGTAGCTCAATGGGAGATTATTTTCCTTGCTTGTAAAACACTCTGACTTCAATCCACTGTACTGAAAACAAATAATGCTTTGTAGTAGAGTTTGAAGTTAGGGAGGTTAATTCCTCCCATATTCTTTTTCCTAAGAATTGCTTTAGCTATTCGTGGGGCCTTATTGTTCCATTTGAATTTCAGGAGTGTTTACTCCATTTCTTTGAAGAATGTCGTGGTATCTTTATAGGGATCGCATTGAATTTGTACAATGCTTTGGGAAGTATTGCCATTTTGACAATGTTAATTCTCCCAATCCATGAGCAGGGGATATCTTTCTATTTCCTCATGTCCTCTTTTATTTCCTGAAGTAGCGTTTTATAGTTTTCTTTGTATAGGTCCTTTACTTCCTTAGTTAAGCTGATTCCTAGGTACTTGATTTTCTGGGGCACAATTGTAAATGGGATTTTTTTTTCATGTCACTTTCTTCTCTCTCACAATTTGCATATAGGAAAGTCATGGACTTTTGGGTATTGATTTTATAGCCTGCAACTTTACTATACAAGTCTATTGTTTCTAGGAATTTCTTGGTAGAGGTTTTAGGGTTCGCTAAGTATAGTATCATATCTGGGAATAGTGAGAGCTTGATTTTTTCCTTTCCTACTTGAATGCCCTTAATATCTTTTTCTTGCCTAACCGCTATTGCAAGTACTTCCAGTACTATATTGAACAGCAGTGGAGAGAGTGGGCATCCTTGTCTCGTCCCTGATCTTAGGGGTAAGGCTCTCAATTTTTCCCCATTGAGAATGATGCTTGCTGTAGGCTTGTGATAAATGGCTTTAACTATATTGAATAAAGTCCCCTCTATACCCATTTTGGTGAGGGTTTTCATCATAAACGTGTGCTGGATGTTGTCAAATGCTTTCTCTGTATCTATTGATATGATCATATGGTTTTATCTTTTCTTTTGTTGATATGATGGATTATGTTGATTGTTTTCCAAATGCTAAACCATCCTTGCATCCCCAGGATGAATCCCACTTTGTCATGCTAAGTGAAACGAGTCAGAAAGAGAGGGACAGACATAGAAAGATTGCATTCATCTGGGGAACATAAAGTAACACAATAGGAGACTAACGCCCAAGAATAGCCGAGATAAGTACCAGGAGGTTTACTCCATGGCTTGGAGGCCAGCCACACATGCTAGGGGAAAAGGCAGTTCAGATGGATAAAGTGTGTTGGGAGGATACTCCCAGGATGGGAGATGCGTGCTGAGAGCAGGCTATAGACCGAACATGATTGCCACTCAATGCCTCTTTTGCAAACCACAGCACCCAAAAGGAGAGAAAGAACAAAAGGGAATGCTATGCCACAGAAGCAGGGTGGGATGGGGGATATGAGGGGGCGAAAGGGATACTGGGATCATTGGTGGTGGAGAATGGGCACTGGTGGAGTGGTGGGTACTTGATCATTGTATAAATGAAACCCAAGCACAAAAATTTGTAAGTCTACAACTGTACCTCATGGTGTTTCACTAATAAAAATTTTAAAAAAGAAAAAAGAAAACAAATAATGCTTGCCATGTGAAAAAACAACTTGGGCAGAGGTGGACTGTGGGACCCATCCTATCAGTTCCTGTAAGGTTCTAACCACAATGAAAGCACAAATCCACTTAAAAGTAACGTGCTGGCAGACTGAACCCACTGTTAATCTAAGCTGTTTAAAAGCAAGCATTGTCACATACAATCCTCACCATTTTATTGGGTGGGTAATATAATTTCTATTTTACAGATCAGGGAAATCAAGAATTACAGTTCATCCCTAAGGGACATGTTAATTTTATGATGCCAGAAGTATGTGTAAAAAGAGTGAGTGGAATTGTGACAGGGATGTAATTGAAAAGATCCGTGGTAAGTGGATATGCTGAACCAAGAGAGGTTAAAGAAAGTAAGAAATAGGTATATTTGGGAATCTTTTCTGTCTGCATCTGCAGAATTTTTGATAATTTTCCTCATATCTATTTGTTCATTCTTTATTCATTACTTAAAGTATTGTTGCGTTTAAACTAGATATTTTTAAAAACAAGTGATTTGGAGTCGAGTTCTTGGATTCAAATGGGGGTATCATCAAACCTTTGAGAAAGGGGCTTAATAGACCTTAGACTTGGTTTAGCTCATCTTCAAAAATGATCTCATCCAACTCTAAGAAGGGAAAGGAAGAAAACTTTTATATATTTTCATGTACTGTGATTCCTGCCAGGAATGTTCTTCCACTACCTAAAGATCATCTTTGGTCAAGGTTTAGAGGAAACTACCTTTCCCAAGACTCAGAGTCCACCTCCTGTCCCTTGGGTTCCCACAATTCCCAAGACCAATACTTCCAAACCATTCTCATTTTCCCCTTTCATCTCAGCTCCAGCCCTACCTGTAGGCATTTCCTTTAGCCATTCCTTCTGCCTCCCGAGGCACTGGCATTGCTTATCTCAGTGTTTCTCAGAAGAGGATTTCCATGTGTATCCTTACTAATGTTTCAATGTATATGCTGCTCTTCTTCACCTTCTTTATCTGTGTCAGGATGTAAACCCAGGTCCCATGCGTGGAAAGCAACACATTACATTATATTCTTCTGCTTTCAGATAAGTAACTAAAGCAATCAAATTGTACTGGATCTAGGGTGACTTCTCTGGGATATGGGAATGACTTCAGATCCTTAGACCGTTCTGATTTTTCTGGGAACCAAAAGTAGAGCTTAGGAATCTGTCTTCAGACTACCTCATCCCAGAGGACATTTTCCAGGGCCCTTTCCCCTAGTATTTGTGGCCCCAAATTCGCTCACTCTCCAGGTGGCTTAATTAATGAAAATTGATTTTTTGTTGAGTTCTCTGCAGACAAGTGAAGATTCCACCACCCCCTAAAAAAAGGAGTACTTCAGTTCCCTGAAGCAGGGGTAAATCTCCTCTGCTCTGAACTCCATCTTCTCCAGAAGAAACGAGTATAAGTGAGCAATGACTCTAAAACACATACCAACGTATGTTCATAGCCAAGTGCTACCCACATTTATAACACATATACAACATATACATGTTCAAGTCACTTTAATTCACATGAACATGTACACATACACTTTGAACTTGTTACGGTGCACACACAGTTCTAACTTCACATGCAGTCCACATACACTCAATACAGCCTTTCTTTGGTACAGACCCATACGCAGCTCATAATGCAAGTCAAATTTCATTTTTGGGGTGGGAGACAAACACATACCTCCTGGAATCAGTAGTGGCAACCAGAACTCTGCACTTTGACTCAGTCCTCCCAGAATAACCAAATATTCACCGGTTTAATCATTATTTCAATGTATTAACTGACCCTTTTTATACAAGAAGAAATTTATTCAGAGAAGTGAGTAGCACACTGACTCTGGAGGTCAACAAATTCTCATGGGAACTCTCCCACCCAGAGAGGTCTCTCCATTCATAGCAAAACTTCTGACACTTTGCTTCTGATAAGATGTTTTAGAAATGTCCCACACACCACCTTTCTTGGTCTATTTCCTCTTTTGTAACATCAGCATAGAGTGATACACAATTTACCTTTGTGGGTTCATAGTGAATTAAATAAATTTAAGCTATGGAAAGTGTTCAGACATCATCAGGCATTGTGAGTATTCTCGAAGAATGAACTAGGGTCATTATTATTTTTATGATTTGTCTCATGACAAGGGGCCAGTATTCAAGAAGTGTCCATTGGTACTAAGTATGAGCAAATGCTAACTGCATTAACATCTGGGTTTGTTTCCTTTACGATAAAGCCACTACAACTCTGATACTTCTTCCTTTTCTTCATGGTGTCCAGCACTATTTTCAGCACTGACAAGGATAAATAAATGTTTAAATGAGGGATCATCTAAGTCTGTCACCTTAGATATCCTCCTTCTACCAGTCCTCCTTCACCCCAGATGACCAGATTTAGCTCTAGTATACAGTAGATCTCAGTAAGTGCTGAATGAACAAACACTACAGGAAATCTGTATCTGGGTTTGTCTCAGAGGAATAGGACGGGGGTGGTGTGCGTCTCCAGACAAGCTCTGACTCTAGCTTCTCTTGGCCCCCACCCCAGCTAGAAGCACCCCATAGGCACTTCCTCTGTCCGCCTCCCCAAATCCCCCCTCCCCCCCCAAATTCCCCGCCCTCTACCCACATCTTGGAGTTATTTGTTGTCACTAATTATGGCATTGGAGCTGGATTGTTGAGAGTGGGTGGATGCAGGTGCAAGTGTGGCAGATTGCCAAACGCAGCCGCTCCTCCGCTGCCATTCAAAGCTGGACTGAAGTGAAATGCAAAAGCCTAGAAGCTCCAGGGGGTGGAACATAGAGAGCTTTGGGAAGTGGAGAGATGGATAAACAAACACATTAGCCAATCATAAAGTGCCTGCTAGGGCAAACAGCCAATCAGAAAAACTGTAACACAGAGCTCTGCAGAGCAATGTGCTGAATACAGCTGCGTAGGAATTGGCAAAGCTGGATCATCACCTTTATGCCAGCAAGATTGGGGCCACAATGGAAAATAATGTCAATGAAATTTTGCCTTTGCCATGCCCTTTGCCCCAGAAGGTACCAAAGTCCTACTTCTGTAGAAGAGGTGGATTTATTGATTTATGGGAGGTCAGGGGGTTCAGAATGGAAGAGAGGTATTACAGCGTCTCATCCTCGGGGTCCTTGCAAGTAGGTACGTTTAGACATGGCCGTTTCTCCTCCACTTCCATCTTCCGCCCCTGCAGCATTTCACACTGTGCCTGTGGTCTTCCCCAGAAGGTTATGTTCTTCTTATCCTCACCTTCAACTGCAGTAATGGTGGTCCTGAGGCATTAGAGGTGAATAGATGGAGGAGCTCAGATAAAGAAAGAAGGCATTCAACAAACTCAGTTAAATAATATACATATATATGTATATATGTGTGTATGAGTGTGTACATTCTCTTGAGGGAACTCATGTAATTAGACTTGTATGTCTGCCTCTATTGCTAAAAATGCCTTGGAGTGCTGAGGGCATTTGAGATGTCATGTGATACATGGAGTCAACCCTGGAGGCATGAGTGACTGAATGAATGAATAGGTAAATCCAAGCCAAGGCAGCTGAGAGAGCAGAACAAATGAACACATGAAGGATGAAATAAATTGGAGTATGTCTGAGGAACTGAATGAGTGCTCATTCAGTCCCTCAGAGGTCCAGACTACTGTTTTCCCTCAATAGTGTTTTGGGGGTTTGTTTTGGGGCTATACCTGGCATGCTCAGTGGTTACTCCTAGCTCTGCACTCAGGAATTACTCCTCTCAGTGCTCACACAATCAAATAGGATGCCAGGGATCAAACCCAGATTGGCTGCATACAATGCAAGCATCCTACCGGCTATACTATCTCTGGCCTTTCAATATTTTTTTCTTTGGTTTTTGGGTCATGCTTGTTGGTGCACAGAGCTTTTTTCTGGTTCTCAGATGGGCCCAGGGAATCATATAGGGTACTAAGGATGCAACCCAGATTGGCCTCATCAAGGCAAGTGCCCCACCTGCTGTTCTATATCTCTTTGATTCCATGAATTGATTTTGTTTTTTTCTCCTTTAGGGGGAGCACACCCAGAGATCCTCAGTGTTCTGTTCTCAGGGACCACTCTGGTGAGTCTCAGGGGACCCTATGGGATACCAAGTATCAAACCTAGATGGGCTATGTGCAAGGAAAGCACCCCCCTACCCACTGTACTATCTTATCAGCCCCCTCAATATCTTTTTTTTAAGTTTCTTTAGGGGGCTGGAGTGATAGTTTAGTGGGTAGGGCATTTGCCTTGTATGCAGCCAACTTGGGTTCAATTCCCAGCATCCCCTATGGTCCCCTGAGCACCACTAGGAGTAACTCCTGAGTGCAGAGCCAGGAATAGACCCCCAAGAATGAACAGGTGTGACCCAAAAAACCAAAATAAATAAAAATAAAAGCTTTTTTAGTTTTTCTTTTCTTCCTGTATCTGGGAAACCTCCTACTTGGCAAGGCAGGTAGCTTAGCTCAGTGGTAACAACCGTGGGTGGGAGTAGCTGATTCTGCTCCCCAATTGCTCACATATCAATACCAAGCACCCTTCCCAGGCACAGTGGCCCCTTACTCACGTGAATTTAGGGAGCAAAGCTGAGCAGATGCGCTTCCGGCTGCGGATGGGATTGGGTCCACAAGGGGGTATGCACAAACCCCAAGTACTCCATTCCAACCACGAGCCTTTCACTGCAAAGAGGGAAGGCAGGGGTTAAATCAGCATTAGAGGTCTCAGTGGATAGAGGGGAATGGGAGAGGGAATGAGGCTACAGGGATATGAAATCTAGGGTGGAGTAAGAAATTGTTATTGCATGGGTCAGCCCACCCTCACAGCAGTTATTTTTTGAAGAGGGGGGTCACACCTGGTAGTGTTCAGGGCTTACTCCTGGCTCTGTGCTCAGAGATCACTCTTGGTGGGCTTGGGGGACCATCTGGCATGCTAGGGATTGAACCAAGATTGGCAGCAAGCAAGGCAAATGCTCTACCCACTGTACTATGATTCCATCCCCCTTCATAGCAGTTTTGGTGAGTACTCACATTCACAGTTCTGGATATTGTAGCAGTTCCGGATATTCTGCTGCATCCCCACACATCTCCGACCATCAAACTTGCGGCCCTTGCAGCTCCTTGAGCGTATTTGCTGGCCCTGGATTTCCTGACAGTTGATGATGATGTTTGTGCCTGGTCGGTTACAGGTGCTCCACTGCCCCCAGGGCCCCCATTCTCCATCCACTGCAGGGACAGGAAAAAAAAGGAGTTTACACTACAGCAGAGGAAACAATGCAGGCTGGAGGAGGAAGTGGAGGGGTAATCAAATATGGGAATGGGGACCAGAAGAGGAAAACCTAGATCTTAGGGACAGGGATAGAGGATTTAAGAGGCAGGAAGGAGGTGACTGGAGAAATAGTAGAGTGAATAGGGTACAGAGATGCAACTGACCCAGGTTTGGTACCCAGAACCCCATATGTATAATATATAATAAATATATATAATAAAATAATATATAATAGTATGTTCTATTATATATACATATGGTTTCAGTTTGGGGCCATACCTGGAGATGTTCAGGGGCTATTCTGGCTCTTCACTCAGAAAATACTCTTGGCAGTGCTCAAGGGACCATATGGGATGCCATGGATCAAATTCACGTTTGCCACATGCAAGGCAAATGCCCTACCCACTGTACTATCATTCTGACCCCTACATAATTTTTAAAAAGAGGCAGGAAAAAGACATTCATGGCAAGAAGTAAGCATCAAAGAGAAGTAAGGGAGTTGAGGCATGAAAATGAAGGTTCTGGAAGTGCTGACCAGGGCAGGGTATGGCCATGTTGCAGATATGGGTCCGTGTTGCATCACCAGTACATGCAGGGCCTCCATACTGGGGTGAAGGGTGATCACATTTCCGGTTTTCCTGAATCCGGCCTAAACCACAGGTCACAGGGCATGGGCTCATAGAACTCCATGGGCCCCAGCCTCCAGCCACTGCGGAAGAGATGAAAAGAGGTGAAATTCCATGTGAATCCTTCTCCCAACCCCACAACCCTTGGTGCCACACTCTCCACACTCCCATGATTTAAAGCCTCTGGACTTGAAATGGCAGAGTAGAGCACCTGGCCTCGAATCCTGAGCAGTCAGTGGCCTGAACCCTGTATACCTGGACAGGGTGGCAGGCCACGGCATGTCCGCTGTTCATAGACCGGTCCTGGGCAAGGCTCCCCTGGGGGCTGTTTGGAGGGCTCAGGTGCAGAACAGGTGCGGCTTCGTCTCTGCAGAGGTTCCTGTGCTCCCCCGTGGCAGGAGATGGAGCAGGGACTCCAGGGTGTCCAAGCAGCCCAGCCTCCGTGTGCTGCAGTGGGTGAAACAGGCCCAGGTGTGCTTAAGTGCACTGAACCCCTCCACCCATCCTGGCACACCCTTTCACCAGCTCCACCCTACTTGGTGTCCACAATTCCCTGGGGGGCTCTCACTCACTTGGGCACACGTTCTTGGTGTCACAGGCCTCTGACTCCTTTACTCCTCCAGGGCAGTGGCCTCCACACTTGGGGGCAGGGCGGTCACATGTGCGACTACGGGATCGGATTCCTCTGGAGCAGGTGACAGAGCAAGACGTCCAGGGGCCCCAGTTGGACCAACCGCCCATTTCTGTGGGAAAGAAGTGAGAGGAGCAGGATAGAGGTAGGGGTTGCGTGTTTATCCCACGTTAGTGACTCCTGTCCCAATATCTTCTGTTACCCCCTGCTCTACATCAACATTCATCTGGGCTATTGTAGTAGTCTTTACATAGTCATTCCACTTCTCCCTTCATGACATCTGCCCCCTGACCCACTGCAAAAGGGATCTGGTACAGTAGTGTTTCCCAAAGTGCATGCTACTGATTGGACAAAGGGGGTATAGATAGGGTAGCTAAGTGTTCTCAAGCCTCTTGCTTTAAATTTTTTAAAGAATTTATTACAATATTTAATATGCTTGATGCCTTACTTAGTTTTATAAATAAAAGTTCCAAGCCCAAAGGCAATGGTCGGATATAGTGAAAAAGCTCATTGAAATGAACTCTTCGCCAAGAATACTTTATCCGGCTGAACTCTCACTCAAACTCGAAGGAATGGTACACTATTTTCTAGATAAACAGCAGCTCAGGAACTTCATAGATTCAAAACCAAACCTAAAAGAAGGGCTAAAGGGGTTACTATAAAACAAGACAAACCCTACAAGCACAACAGACCCTTACAGAAAGATGGCACAAAACTCCATAACAGTAATCTCTCTCAACGTCAACGGTCTAAATTCACCAATTAAGAGACAGAGTGGCAAAATGGATTCAGAGACAGAACCCAACATTCTGCTGCTTTCAATTTTGACTTCTTGAGACAAGAATCTGAGAGCCTACTCTGACATCTGGCACTGGAATGATTCAGAAGAGCGGTAGTAGCCTCAAATACCAGTAGAGGGCGCTTTATGTTCGTTGACTTAAAGAAGGTAGATTTCCTGGGGGCCGAGAGGCGCTGGGTAATTTTTAAAATTCTTTTTCTGAAAAGAGGACTGCAGGTCAAATAAGTCTGGGAAATCTCTGGGTCAAATAAGTCTGGGAAATATCCTTTGCCACAATCAAAATCACTAAGAGTTAGTGCAGCATCCTTACCATGGCTCCCAAGGATCAGGCCCCTTCTGATCTCACGTCTCCAGCCACGTCAGCCTCCTCCATAGTGCCTCACATTAGGTTCAGTCCCACCCTTGGGTCTTTGCCCTAACTACTCCCAGCGGCCAGGTCAAGGGTACTGCTGGCCCACCCTGCTACTCCTCCTTACCAGGACAGCAGGACTTGTCTTCACAAGCCTGAAGCTGCCACTCAAGAGTCCCAGGCTCCACCTTTTCAGGACACTGGCCACCACGGCCTATGCAGCGCCGATGCCTCAGCTGTGAGCCCTCAGTGCAGCTCACAGAACAGGCAGACCAGGCAGACCACGGTGACCATTGTGGTAATCTGCAGAGAGGAATACACGGTCCCACGCTGGAGGGAGCTGACCAGAATAGAACATGGTTCTCGAGCATGGGGGCAGGCACAAGGGGGAACAGCTGAATCAGTGAGGTGGGGGATGGACTGAGAAGCATGTGGACTCTGGGATCTGCTGGGATTGAAGAAGAGACTGGCAAACAGATAAGTGTTTAATAGATGTTAGTTGCCTTCATTACATGGAACTACTCTTTGAAGACTCCTAAGAACAGAGCCGGGCAGGTAAATATAAGGAGGAGGAGCCCAGAACTGGTGTCAAAAACCCTCTAGGCTGACCACCAGGCCACATGGAAGCAGGCAAGCAGGAAACGCTTAATAAACAGGAGCCATCATCACAGTGAGCTCAGAGATGCTGTCAGAAACAGCATACATCAATCCTCAAGGCCAACACAGGATAATGCAGAATTGATGCGAAGAGTTGATATACCTAGGACCACCAAGCTGCCTTCAAAAATCCTAAAGTGGGGCCTGAGTGATAGTACAGTGGGTAGAGTGTTTGTCTTGCACGTGGCCGACCTGAGTTTGATCCCTGGCACTGCATATGGTCCCCCGAGCATCACCAGGAATAAACAAAACAAAAATCCTAAAGTCCCCTGTTCTGCTTTTTAGGATTGTGTTGCTGGGGGCCACAACCAGTGATGCTCAGGACTCACTACTGGCTCTGAGCTCAGGGCACCATAGGAGTTGCTGGGATCAAATCCAGGCTGCCCACATGCCAAAGTAAATGCCCTACCCACTGTATTGTCTCTTTGGCCCAAACTCCCTATTCTTAAGGTGTATCTAGTACGGGTAAGAAGTTACCCCACTGTTTCCTCTGCTCCCAGTGTAGCTGGTATACCGGAAGAGCTCAATGAATTTGGCCATAACTTGGGTCCTAGACCTGCCCTTTCAATTCCTCACATTTTCCCACCCTCATAATATGTGTCCATATACTAGAAGTACTGAATAGGAGCTGTTAGCACAAGTAGGGTATTTAAGCTGCTTTCAGAAATACCAGCTGCTTTACAGAGCTTGTACCCCATGGTGCTTCTGATGTGCAGGAAGTGAACAGGATATGTAAGCTACCAGGCTTCAGGGGGTATGAGGCAATGTCTGGAGACATTTTTTGGTTGTGACAACAAGTGGGGGAGTTGCTGTCAGTATCAATCAGGAAGCCAGAGATGCTAAAAAATATCTTGTGAGGGGCCAGAGCGATAATACAGAGGGTATGGGACTTGTTTTGCATGCAGCCAAACAGGGTTCTATCCTCAACATCCCATATGGTCCCCGAGGTGCACCAGGAATAATTTCTGAGTGCAGAGCCAAGAATAACACCTGAACATCACCAGGTATGGCCCCAAAAGAAAGCCAAAAGCAGTATCTTTGGGTGTACAGGTCAGTCCCTCACAAGAAAATTAATTGGTGGCTCCCAAATGTCCATAAAGTTGAGGTTGAGCATTCTAAAGCCATAGTCCTGATCAGGGCCTTGCACGCACTCTGCGAAGTTCCGGAGCAAGAAAGTGCCCAGTTCTGGGTTGCCCACCACCCCCTCCACTTCCTAGTCCATTTTGCTTCCCCCATCCTGGGTGCCCCCTGACCTGCATGCCTGACAGAGCTTGCTGCCTGGATTCTGGAATGCATAAGCAGTATTGAGACAGCAGTTTTCAACACTGACACCTCCGCCCAGGAGGTTTTGACACTTGCCGGAGGATTCCTCATACTGGGTGAAGCAGAGCACAGGATCTGAGCCTGGAACAGGACCCGCAGAGGCATAATCAGAGGAGTGCTGGATCCAGGGAACCCTGTGGACCAGCCTGGCCCTCACCTACTCACCTGTGGTCGACAGACTCAGCAGTAGCAGCAGTGGTGGCAGAAGGAATGGAGGGGCCTGCACTTGAGAGAGCATGTTGAACACTGGGTCTCCAAAGTACCAGGGGACTGGCTTTATGAGGTCCAGCCCCTAGTGTCAGCATGGAAAGAGGAACTAGTGGGGAGGAAAAACGCAAAAGGAACTGGGAGGGCAAAGAGCAGCAGAGGGAGAGGAGGGTAACCCCGGGTTTCTTCAGCTCCTACTTCAGCTGCTGAGACTTCTCCACTCCTCTTCCCTCTTGATTTCCTGCTTTACCCTTGGTGCTGATTTGTTTGTCCCCAGCACCCCACTACTGGCCTAGCAAGCCTTTGGCACGCAGTCACAGCTCTTGAACTTACATCGCAGAGGGTGAATAGAGAAGAGGTGTTTGGAGCAGGACAAACTTCTGAGCTGCCTGACTTTGGGCAAGTTGCCTGAGCCAGTCTGTGCCTCAGTTTCTCCAGATGTAAAATGGATACTCTCGAGTAACAACAGGAGCGGCTCCCTGGGAACTATGGAACTGGGGTAAAATGAGTGTGATGTACTGAGTGTCCCTTCTCAGGGTTATTGCTTCATTCTCAACACCCTACCCCACTTTTTTCCCTGAAAGTGAGCTTCCCTGTGGTCACCATGTAGAATAGAGGGAAGTGAGAAGGGGAAGTGGCAAAAATGTGGGAGGATTCAGAGGAATGAATTGGGGCTATGCACTGTAGGGAGTGTTGGGTGTAAGGGCCCAGGCTGTGGACAGACACTCTTTGGGCTGAGAACGGGGTGTTTGGGCGGGTGACCAGGTACTATCAGTCAACTGTGGAAGAACCATAACACCTGAACCTAGATCTTAAGGTTTGCTGCTAGATTGAGAGTTAAGTTTTTTTCAAAGTCCTTAGAACAGTGCCTTGCAACATCTGTGTGTTATATTGTTTCACCATTTATTGAGTGCCTAGTGAGTGTCAGATGCATTTTTTGGAATTGGATGGAACAGAGAACAAGATAACCAGGCCAGGGAGATGGCTTGAAGGGCTGGAGCATATGTGTTGCTCTAGCCTGGGGCTTGCTCCCTGACACTGTAGGGGCTCCTGAGTACTGCACTGGTAGTGACCCCTGAGTATCACTGTGATCCTTCACCCCTTCTCAAAAATGTCCAAAATCCTTGTCTTCAAAGAGGTTTTTCCTCTAAAAGAGGAGGCAGGGGCTGGAGATGGGCTCGGTGGCAGAGCACTTGCCTCAAAGTGCTTAAAATTCCTTAGTGTGGGACCAGAGCGATAGAACAGCGGGGAAGGTGTTTGCCTTGCACGCAGCTGAGCTAGATTCAATCCCTGGCATCCCATATGGCCCCCCAGCCCCACCACGAGTAATTCCTGAGTGCAGAGGCATGATGACTATTGTTTGTGTTGCCATGTTTTCCTGTAAAAACCAATTCCCTTGCCCCCATCGCCAAAAAAAAAAGAGTAAAGAAAACTAACTTCTCAAGAAATCTGTAATTCTCACTATTTGCTTTATCTAATCCCCTTTTCCCTGGTAGTCCTGTTACCATCAATATTTCCTTTGTTCTTAAATGGCATAAAATACTCATAAGAATCCTAGTGGTAGAGACTGTGCTTTCATCTTCTGTACAGCTGAGGAATAAAATGACTGCAGACTTTCTTTTGTGGTGTCAGGTATCCTTTATATGCAAGGCATGTGCGCTACTGTTAAGCAACATGCCGAACCCCAGCTTTCTTTTCCTTTCTGTTATTTTGGCCTCCCAAACAGTGCTCAGGAAGCCCAGGGGGTCCTCCCAACAGTTCTTGACCAAGTAGGCTGGCAATTCAATGCTGAGGGCCTGGGGATGTGGCAGTCTTGGAGCTCTAAGTGCCGGGGATTACCCAGGTAACTCCCGCAGTGTGGGGTACCTCCAGGACTGCACCCGATGATACTTGGGAAACTGCTTGTTAACAGTTAAACTGCTTGTTAACAAGCAGGGATAGGAACTGGGATTGGCCACAAGTAAGGCAAGACCTTAAGTCCTGTACTATCTCCTTAGCATCATCCTTTGTTGTTGTTTTGAGCCACGCCCAGCAGTGTTTAGGGCTTAATTCTGGCACTGTGCTCAGGGATCACCTCTAGTGGGGCTCAGAAGACCATATGGGATGCTGGGGATCAAACTCAGTTGGAATGTGCAAGGCAAGAGCATTACCCACTGTACTATCGCTCTGCTAACATTGATTGTAGTAGCACTGTACTATAGCACTGTCCTCCCATTGTTGAAAAGCTCTGCCATGCAGGCGGGATACTCTGAGTAGCTTGCTGGACTCTCCAAGAGGGACAGAGGAATTGAATGCGGGTCAGCTGCACTCAAGGCAAACACCCTACCCGCTGTCCCTCTCAGAGAGCCTGGCAAGCTCCCTGTGGCATATTCGATATGCCAGACATAGTAACAAGTCTCACAATGGAGACGTTACTGGTGCCCACTCAAGCAAATCAATGAATAATGGGAGGACAGTGCTACAGTGCTACCAGGACCTTGACAGTGCTACTATCTCTCTGGCATCCCCATCTTTTTTAAATAGGGGTAACACTCAGTGGTATTGTGCTCCGGGGGCGGTGTGGTGCTGGGGATCAAACTTAGGGCCTCACACGTGCAAGCCCTGTGCTCCATCACTTGAGCTCTCTCTAGCCCCTGCAGACATTTATTTTGTGTGTGTGGTGGGGATTGCTCTAAGTATTGTTCAGGGGATCTAGGGACCAGCCTCAGCAATACTTATCAGGACCACTGCAGTGGTGGTGGTGCTGGGAGACTTCAGAGCACACGAGGAACTGCTTGGGGGTGGGGCTCTAAGGGAACCCTTAGCTCCTGTGCTATCTTCCTTGCCTCCATATTTCTTAATTAAAATGTTTCATTTTATTTAAGAGGGGAGCTTCGGGGCCATACCTGATAGTGTTAAGGGGCTACTCTTGGCTCTGTAGGCAGGAGCGATGTGGTTCCTGTTTCAACCAGGGTGAGCAACACGCAAAGGCAATACCTTAACCCCTGAATTATAATCTCCCTGACCCACTCCCCCCATATTTCTTATTTAAAAACAAAGAGTGAAAGAGTCCTGGAGCCAGAGTGGTAGGTAGGTAGGGTGGTTGCCTTGCATTGGCCAACCCAGATTCAAACCCCGGCACCACATATGGTCCCCTGACCACCACCAGGCGTGATCCCTGAGTGCAGAGCCAGGAGTAACCCATGTGCACTGCTGGGTGTGGCCCGAAAGCAAATGAAAAACAAAAGCAAAAAAGTCTTGTTTTGTTTCTTGATTGCCCCATCACCTGCTATATTCTGTTTATCCATTTCCTGCCCATCATCCTCACTAAAGTGCCAGCTCCATGAGGGCAGGGATTTTTTAATCAGGGTTAACTTCTATGCAAGGATTAGACAGGAATTAGCAACCAGAACATGCTTCATAAACAGTTGCTGAGTGACTCAAAAAAATTTTTTAAAGAAAGGAACAAAACTTAATGAATTCTGGTAAGTATCAAGAGGAACACTGTGAATTGGAGGGATAAGTAGTGTCTCAAAGAAGGAAGGAGGCTCATGAAAATCCCAGGGGGAAATAAAAACAAATGCCTGGGGAACCCCAGAATTTCAAGATTTGGAGAACTGGAAGAAACCAGCCCAGGGCACCTAAAGGGAAGAGCTCTGAAAGGAAGAAGACAGATGGAAGAGGGCTTTCTCCTATGCAGAACATATTTGATTTCTCCTCTATTGTCTTATTCCAGGCTGGAGCGATAGCACAGTGTGTAAGGGCACTTGCCTTGCACGCAGCCAACCCGGGTTCAATTGCTCCACCCCTCTCGGAGAGCCCAGCAAGCTACCGAGAGTATCTCGCCTGTACGGCAAAGCCTGGCAAGCTACCCGTGATGTATTCTATATGCCAAAAACAGTAACAACAAGTCTCACAATTTGTTGTGAGACGTTACTGATACCTGCTTGAGCAAATTGATAAACAACAGGAGGACAGTGCAGTGTAGTGTCTCATTCCATCTCAGTCATGTTCTCTTATTAGTGTTTTTTTTTCTTTAAACAATACATATACAGTTCCAGACTCACAGCCTCTGCTATGTCTCTCACTGACAGGCTCACCTACCCCTTCTATCACACAGCCTCTCGGACATTTTTCTCACTCACTCACACAGGGAGTCATTTTTGATGTCATTGATTCCTGGTCTCACTACAGTCTCCTAAAAGTTTTTCACACAATCAGAGTTTAGAGCCTGTCTCACTCAGCCAATATCACTGTTATTTACTTTTGCCAGTTTTACACATATACACATAAACAGTCACACCTTTTGATAAGCTGTTTCCAACACTCAGTCGGGCTGCCATTTTCTCACTTATACAAATAGTCACTGACTTCCAGCCACCATAAAGTTCTACTTGAGTACACAAAATCACTCTCTTACCTCTTTTCACTAAAACCCATATTTCACACACCCACAGACCCCAGTTATAGCTGAGAGTTTCACACACAGACGAACACACTGGAATGCAGACACCAACTTAGTCACCTAGTCTCACAGTTCTCCTCAAGTGTTTTCCAGCACATTCAACCCTTCATTTACAGTCTTCAAGAAAGTTGCTTGAAGAGTTTTACAGTTCCTCAGGCATAGTCTCAGTCACCCATTCACTATCATAGTCACATTCCCTCAGCTTCTGAGGCTTTGGGGTCATAATATCATAATTGCTAACGGGTGCTTAATCAGTCCCCCCCACACACATACATATATGTGTCCCATTTCAGTTGCTCACACCATTTATTTCTTTTTGTCAGTTTATTAGTTATAGCCTTGCTACTTCCCTTTTGTTGCATGTGTATGTGGGGTTAGGGAACGAACTCACACATGTGAAGCACATGCTTTACCACTGAACCACATCCCCCTTAAAAACGTTTTTGTATAACTGAAACCCAAGCACAAAAATTTGTAAGTCTACAACTGTACCTCATGGTGTTTCACTAATTAAAAAACGTTTTTTGTTATTTTTTTAGGGGCCACACCTGGCAGTGCTCAGGGTTTACTCCTGGATCTGTGTTCAGTGATCACTCCTGGCGGGGCTTCAGGGACCCTCTGGGTTCTGGGAATTGAACCCGGGTTGGCAAATGCCCCTACCCCCATAGTGACATTTATTTCCTGACAATCTCTATGCCATTTTCATGTCCCCATAGGTTACCAAACATAATTGGTCTGTCTTGATCACTCTCAACCTGTTAAATAATGATTGATCTGTGGTGCCTACTACCTCTTCATCAACATCCTCTCTCGCTCACACACAAACCATTTCCTTGAACAGTTATCCTTCACTTTGTCTTACAGTGATTTTCTGACACATAGCCGCGATTTCTCAGAGACACAACATCAAGTTTGGGACTACAGCTCCTACTCGGTTGCCCACAGTCTCAATCCACAAGCAACTACAACTCCCCAGTGTCTCTTTTTCATACCTTTGGCTCCCAGTCTACAGTCTTTATTATTGTTTCTGTCACATGCACCACCATGTTCTTTCTCTCAGAACCAATCTCATAACCTAACCACCTTTCACACACAGTGTCAGGCTTGTCATACTCAGACCCAACAGCTTCAAGGCCAAAAAAAAAATGCTATCAGTCTCCAGCATCACCTTTAAAAATATATATTTACAGGAACAATTACCCATTCTCTGGGACTATTAGAAAAAAATCCACATTTTGGGGAAATAAAACAAACAGTGGAGACAGGTGTAGCACCGTCCCCCAAATCACCAACCCCTCCCAGGTCCCCAGGACAGGGCTGTTGCTGATAGGAGGCAAGCCTAGAAGTCCTTTGAGCCCACCTCTCTCCAGCCCAGAACTGGAACATGGCAGACTTAATGTCCCTCATTCCTCCCTCCCAACTCCAGGGACACTTAAAGGGTCCTATGTACCCGCCCGCAGGAAATTGGGGGGCTGAGAGGGAGGGAGCTGGAAATTCATTTGGTATCAAAAATAAACACTTGGGAGTGGCAGGAAGATTCCTCCCCTCACCCCAAATCCCTTCCTTCCCACCCACCCCATCTCAGATACAGGATGAGATGGCCCTTCGCCCCTACTGAAAAGTTCCATTTAAAAATAGATTATACTATCAAAATGGCAGGGAACGGGGTACAGGGAAACCTGGAGTACTGGTAGGAGGGGTCCCCCAGACGGGGACTCTGCCCCCCCAAACCCTCCATTGGGAGGTAAAGGTAGGACCCCAGGAGTTTGGCAGACACAGGAATGGCTTTTCAAGGGGAGAGACAAAAGGGGTATTCCTTTCTGGCCAAAAAGTTGGCTGAGAAAAGGACAAGCTGTCTGAGAAAACGTCTTTGGCCGTGGAAAATCCCATTCCAAAAGTGTGAATCTTCCTCGGCCAAGACTCCCAAACCATGAAGTGGCACAAATTATTCCTGGACCCTTAGGAATGGCCAAGAATAAACAACTACAATGATTTCTTCTACAAACACCTAGAAACAGCGTTCCCTCAGCTTCCCAAGGGCAGGCTGAGAGAGAAAGAAAAGAAAAAAGAAGGGGCCTTCTCAAGCCAGACCCCGATTGTCCTGTGTTAGGGAAAAAGATATGGAGATCAGGGGAGATAGCCTCACACCCTCCTTCAAAGAGATGGGCCAGGATCTTCCCAGTGGCCTTCAAAAAATAAATAAACCGCCCCCCTCAACTACAGGAGTAGGAGACGTGTGAGGACGGCTACTGGGGGACCTGACAAAAAGAGAGGAGAGTTATCGTGTTTCATGTGGGTTGTGAAGAGAAGCTTCTTCCTAAGAATCCCTACCCCCACAATCAGAGAACGAGTCAGTCTCATGAACTCTCTTTTCTCTTTGAATTAAGATGGCTGGAGAGAAGTCCAAGGCATGGATGGAGTGACCACCCCAAGGGGTGGCTGTGCTGATGGTAGTCATGGCTTCTGGGGCCCTGGGGAGAGCACCACGGGGGTTGAGAGGCCATCCACGCTGATGGAAGGGATGTGCACCTGGGCGCTTCCACTGGAGGGGAACTGGGGACAGAAAGAGGAAGATGTCACACATGTGGCTTAGGCAGGGTCTCTGCTCTGCTCTGGGATGAGGTGCGGGGGTGGGGTGGAGTGGGGGTGCGGAATCCTACCTGAAAGGAGAGTTTGGCAGGACTACGGGGTGCAATGGGACTCAGAGTGCTCCAGAAGTGGATGCTGGAGGGCAACGAGCTGGGTGTCAACAGCACCGGAGTCTGGAGGGAAGGGTTTGGTGATACTCAAGCAAGCAGATGATAGGCGAGGGGAACACAGAAGGCACAAACCCTGCTCCCACCACTTTCCCCACTTAGATTTCTGATGTCACTCCTCTCAAGTACACAGGCTTAGCCCCCCAGTCCTAGGTTCTTGTCTGTCACACCTCTCTCCTATTTGACATGGAACCCCAACTCCTGAGACTCAGTCTCAGGGGATCAAGATGACCCACACAAGACACTGATCATATGTTGCATGTCTTCTCCCAAGTCACCTCAACATCACAGGGTCTAAGAATGACTCCATAGGGCTCACTGGGAAAAACACAGTGTGCCAATCCCAGACCCAAAGGCTTAGTTCAAGTTATTCACACCAAGCCTCAACCTGAAAAAGAGTTCCTGCAGAAAATGGGGCCCTCAGGACTCGATCCCCCGTAAAACTCCCCCAGACTGTACTTCACTAGGACAACCCTGGCACTAGCGACTCTCCAGCCCTTTGATAATCAGGCTCCATTCTTCCAGCATGGCCTCAACTCAAGCCAAGGCCCTCTTTAGTCGTTTATAACCCCATTTGTTCTGGTGCTTGCCACCACCCACCCCACCAGCTCTCACCAGTGTATGAGAAGGTAGAAGGGATGGAGTCAGTGCTGGCCCTGGTGCCTGAAGCCCGGAGCCAGATCCCGATCCTGGAGTCCGTTCGGGTCCCGGACCACTCAGTAGCCCTGGGCTGAGTGGAAGCTCCAGGTCTCGGGGCTTCCGGCCCTTCTGAGGTTGGACGTTCTCTGTGTGCGATGACGATGTAGAGGCTCCAACACCGACTACCTGTGCTGTAGTCTCCATGACAACTGCGGGCAGGTGGGCTGGCACATCTTCCGTGGGAGAAACTTCCGACTCAACCTTCGATTCCAGCACAAATTCCACCTCCCCATGGGCTGCAGCTTCCAACTCATCCTTGGGCGTGTCCACTTTGACGTCGGTGGGCAGTGACCTGCCAAACCTGGCCTCCAAACTCAGTTCTTCTGATTTAGGGTTCAGGGTCTCAGGTGGGGTGAGGATGACCTGAAGAGGAGCAGGTGCAGAGAGACTGTAAGAAGACTGCTGGGTGGACTGGGGAGATAGCAGAAGGGGTCAAGCATATGCCTAGCATGTGGGAGGCTTTAAGTACCAGCCCCAGGATGACCCTGACCCCTGCCCCTGCACCAAACAAACTTTGTTTTTCCTTTCAGGACTGGGGCTGGGCTTAGCGGTAAAGCTCATGCTGTGCACGCAAGAGGCCCTGTGTTAAAAATGAAAGAACTAGGGGCCAGAGAAATAGTTCATTAGGTAGGGCGCTTGCCATGCAAGCAGCTGAACCAGGTTTGGATTCTGGCATCACATATGGTTAACCCAAGCACCACCAGAAGTGATTCTTGAGTGCAGAGCCAGGAGTAAGCCAGAGCAAGTTGTGGATGTGGTCCCAAAAACAAAACAAAGGACTGCATGGTGGCGAAGTCAATGATTTGGTTTGGAAAATGGTATTTAGTACTGGGTATCTGCTGCAACCTGGAGCACATGCTAAAACAATGTGGGACTTTGCCAATAAAGCTGCTGTTTTCACAGGGGATTGCCCTGCCACAGAGGCAGGGGGGGATGGGGGGATGTGGGTGGGGGGGATACTATCCATGGTGGTGGAAAATGGGCACTGGTGGAGGGATGGGTATCTGATCATTGTATAATTGAAACCAAAGCACAAAAAATTGTAAATCTACAACTGTAAAAAAAAAATAAAATAAAATAAAGGGAAAAAAAAGCTGCTGTTTTCAGAGGCAGCTTCTCCAATCTGCAGGCAGGGATAACTCTGGGTGCAGGATTTATGGGGATCCTTCCCTCATTCATTAAAGCAGTGGTCCTCCAGATCAGCTGCATCCACCTCACCTGAAAACTAGTTGAAAGTGTCCATTCTGGCCAGGAGAACTGGTCAATGGTTGGAAGCTTGCCACAAGTGTGTGTGGGGAGGGGGAAGGAGGGCAGTTAGGATAGAGAAGGGACCAGTATGACCAAAATACTTAGAAATACTCACTCTGGACAAGATCTAAGTGTTAAAAGTTGGTAAAGTGACATACATGATAACCTTACAGTATCTGTATTGCAAACCACAATGCCCAAAAGGGGGAAGGAGAGAGAAAAAGAGAGGGAGAGAGGGGGAGAGAAAGACAGAGAGAGAGAGTGGCGGATTGGGGGTTGCAGGAAGGAAACTGGGGACAATGTTGGTGAGAAATGTACACTGGTGAAGGGAAAGGTGTTGGAACATTATATGACTGAGCAACTTTGTAACTGTATATCTCATAATGATTCAATTTTTAAAAATGTGCCCATTCTAGGCATGGGTATGTGTACAGCAGGTAGGGCGCCTGCCTGGCATGTAGCCGACCTGAATTTGATCCCTGGCATCCTATATGTCCCCTGAGTTCACCAGAACTAACCCCTGAATACAGACTCGGGATTAAGCCCTGAACACTGCCAGGGGTGACCCAAAAACAAACAAAAAAATTAAAAAAAATATTCTCAGTCTCTGGCCCATCCCGACAACCACATATATCAGATTCTGAGGATGGGTTTCCACAATCTAGTTTAAAATACCCATTAGGTGGCTAGATGACTGCTGAAGGGCATTAAACAAATACAAGGGGATATGGGTATGAAATGTTGGAGGTATACTACTGATTCCAATGCCCTTCCTTTCCTTTCTTCTCTAGCTAGCACTGCTCTGAAACCCAAAGTTTCCTCCTAGGGGATTTCTGTATCTTTCCTTCTGCCATGTATCCTTTAATCACAGGTTTGTGGCCCCCTACATTCTCCACACACTCCTCCATTCCCTCTGGGAATTGTCTATCCCTCTCACAGACTTCCTAATCCTTCTGGTTCTTACCTGCAGAGGAAGGTCGACATCCTCAGTCTTCAGGCAGGCCTCCAAGGGGCTTGGGCTGGTGCTCCTGCTCCCTGAGAGGAGCATTGCCCCTGAAGGGGTACTGGTGGGGAGTACTGCAGGAGGCCGAGGATGAGGTGGCAGCTGTGGGTGTGGCTGCGGTTGCAGGGACTGAATTGTGAAGGTAGAATAGAGGCCTGAGCGCATGTATTCATTTCGGCTACTACGTGCCAAGCCACCTGTGCCTGCCACTCCCCCACCTTTGGGTGGGCCTGGCTTCCCAGAAGCAGGGTCCCCAGGGGCAACATGAAGAGCAGTAGGTGCCATGTTTGCCACAGTGGAGGTGACAGGTATCTCGGGTGGTGGCAAGTAGTCCTCAGTAGAGCACCCTGCGATTTCAGGGTAGGACACAAACTTGTAGACAAACTTCTGGCCGCTGACTTTGCGGATGATGTTCTGGAAAGGGAGAGAGGGGGAAAAGGGCCTTAGCAGAAAGGGTGGGGGCTAGGGGTGCAGAGAGGTGTGTCTCCTAATGTCTTCTCATGGTTTTGTTCTTTGGGCCACACCTGGTGATGCTCAGGGTTTACTCCTGGCTCTGTGCTTAGGATCATTCCTGATGGACATAGAAGACCATACGGGATGCTGGGGTTCAAACCTAGGTTTTGCCCCAAGCAAGGCAAATGCCTTACCCACTGTCCTATCACTCTGGCCCCTAATGTCTTCTTTTTTCTTTTTCTTTTGTTTTTGTTTTAGAGACACACTGGAGATGTTCAGGGGTTACTCCTGGCTCTGCACTCAGAAATTACACCTGCTAGTGGTCAGGGGACCATATGGGTCGACAGTGTATAAGGCAAGTACTTTACCTACTGTATTATTTGTCTGGCCACTGTAATGTCTTATTATGCCCCTTACTCGTTGTTTAAGTTGTACTATTTTTCCCTTTGGTTTTGTTTTGGGGACTATGCCGCATGGTTCTTGAGGGGTACTTCCACTTCCGGCTCTTGGGAGACAACACAATCACAGAGATTGAACCTGAGCTGCCCACAGGCAAAACATATGCTCCAGCCCTTTGAGCTATCTCCCTGGCCCCTTCCCTGTCTTTTTTGTTGAAGAAGAGTAGGCCACACCAGGTGGTACTCAGGGCTTACTCCTGACTCTGTGCTCAGGGATCGCTCCTAGAACCCTATGCGGTGTCAGGATAAAACCAGGCAAGTGCCAGATATGTAGCACTCTCTCTCTGGCTAATGTCTTTTTTGTTTGTTTGTTTTTGACTTACACCAGTGGTGTTCAGGGCATACTCCTGGCTCCATGCTCAGGGATCACTTTCCAGGGCAAAAAGCCAGGGCTAAGGGCATCATATGTAGTGGTGGGATTAAATCTGGATTGAGTGTGTGCAAGGTAATTGCCCTGCCCACTGTACTACTGCTCCAACCCATGACATAAAAGTTGGAAGAGACTAAAGTCATATAGAAGGATGTGGTGCTGACTTATTAATATAGAGGATTACTTAAAGCTATGAACACAGATATGGAACAGGGAAAGGTCACTAGGGAGGGCAGGATGAGTTTTAAGAATGAGTTTTAAGAATCTTCCCCCACGCCAGACTGTTTCATTCAGGGCAACCCAGAGTGGGGGAGATGAACCCCCCCCCCGCCCTAATGGAGCTAGCCCTTGCAACTGAAAACCTCCAGAACTCAATCAACACCATGCTCACGGCTGCTCTCTACATGCTTGGATGCGTTTCACCCATGAGTGAACCTATTCCTGGAACTATTCTCATATTTTACACCACTAAGATTCCAAGAGTAGTGTACCACATTTGATGGGGTTTAAAGTAAAAGGCAACCAATATTAGGGGGAAATACATTTTTAAAGATATATATATATGCATATAAGAACAAGAGGAGAATTGATCAAAATTTGCAAGGTCCAAGAGGAAGCAGTAAGGAAAAATTTCCATAATACCGTCATGGAGGTTTGTACTGTAAGAAGAAATAGCTTTTGGAATTATTATTCTATAACAAGAACAGATAATGAGACAACTGAAGATTTCAGGACAGGCCCCAGGGGCTCTGGGGCAAGAAAAACAATTATTCATATGGTTCATTATAAGTATTAAAATCAGCACTACTTTGTAAAAGTCTGGGCTATAGGCATAAGGTAAGAAAATGAAAGGTTAGGGCTGAATCACATATATGGCGCTTGCTCTGGATGTGGCCGAACCGGGTTCTATCCTCAGTACCCCCAGTACCCCATAGGATGCTCTAAGCCCCACTAGGAGTGCTCCTTCAGCACAGAACCAAGAGTAAGGCCTGAGCAGCACAGAAACAGGAATAAGCTTTGAGTACTGATGGGTGTGCCCCCCCCAAAAAAAAACCCCTGAAATGTAGTGCAGGCTGTAATGGGACAGTATGACCTAGATGAAACTCAGAGTGGATATCTGTATTAATATTACGATGAGGGGTTTAGTGAAAACAAACTTGGGACCAAAGATAGTACAGTGGGTAGGGTGCTTGTCTTGCATGTGGCTGACCCAAGTTCAACCTACAGCATGCAATATAATTTCCCAAGTCCATCAGGAGTGATCCCTGAGCACAGAGCTAGGAGTAATATGGCACAAAAGCCACCCCCTAAAAGAACCCAGAAAGACTGTAGTATAATTTATAATAACTGTTAGGTAAAGCCAGCAGTGGTCTGAAGATAGTAGAGCATGGAGTAGAGGGACAAAAATGATCGATTTTAATCTTATTCTCAAAATGACAATTAAGACACAAACAAGATGATGCAATAGTCTCTGATAGCTTACCTGGTCTTTGACAGCTTACCTTGTCATAGTAGTAGCGCAAGGCCCGGCTGAGCTTGTCATAATTCATATTAGTCTTGTTCTTCCGCAGCCCCCACAGACGAGCCACCTCCTCAGCATCCACTAGCTTGAACTCCCCACCATCACGTGAAGTCCAAGAGATAATATGGCCATTGCCTTGCTCTCTCAGCAGCTGCAGCAGAAACTGCCACAGTGTAACAGAGGGGTCCATTGCTGGGGAAGTAGTCACGCCATTCCAGGGGCACCTGGAGGACAAATGGCTTAAAACCACAAGGCTGCCTGCAGACAGAACACCAGGAAGGGCAGAGGTCAGTGGGATGATTCCTTTTTTTGCCCTTCTGTTTCTACCTGCCAACCTCCCCCTCTGCAGTCCTACCATCACTCCTTAAACATCCTCAGATTCAACCCTATACTCTTCAGCTTTGGATGCCCCCTACTGGGAATTTTAGGATGGTGTGAATATATTTCTTCTGTGGGACACTCAGGACTCTGAAGGAACAGATGGCTGGCCACATATGTGGCAGACTGAATAATGCCCACCCACAAAGATGTCTACAGCCTTACACCCTAATCTCTGGAACCTGTTTATTTGGGGGCCACACCCGGCGGAGCTCAGGCTTACTCCTGGCTCTGCTCTCAAGGATCACTCCTGCAGGGCCCAGGGGATCATATGTGGTGCCAGAGATTCAAGCCAGGTCTGCTGTGTGCAAGGCAGGCACCCTGCCCCGCTGTACTATATCTCTGGCCCATGGAACCTCTGAGTACATTAGACTACATGGCAAAAGGAGCTTTGCTGATGAACCTAAGGGTAGGGAGCTTAAAACACAGAGATTATTCTGGATAATTCAGGTGACTTTTATCTAATCACAAGAACATTTACTGAAAGCAGGAGGCAGGGGGGCTGGAGTGAGAGTATAGTGGACAAAGCATTTTCCTTGCAAGTGGCTGACTCAGGTTTGATTCCTGGGACCCAATATGGAACCCCAAACACTGCTAGAAGTGATCCCTGGGTGCAGAGTCAGAAGTAAACCCTGAGCACCACCAGGTATGATGCCCAAAATAAACAAACAAAACCCAAAAACCAAAACACAGGAGGCAGAAGAGGCAAGAGAGATCCAAAACATAACTAAGAGGGACTTAACCTACCTTTATTGGTTGAAGATGGAAGAAGGCTGGAGAGATAGTATAGAGGTTAGAAGGTTGGAGCACTTGCCTTGTATGCTGCCAACTTGGGTTTGATCCCCAGCACTGCACAGGGGCCCCTTAGCCCTACCAGAATTGATCCATGTGTACAGAGCCAGGAGTAAGTCCTGAGTACAGCCAGGTGTGGCCCAAAAATAAAAAATAGAAAAAGAAGGGGCTGGAGTGATAGTACAGTGAGTAGGGCATTTGTCTCTGGGTTTGATCCCAGGAATCCCATATGGTACCCTAAGCACTGCCAGGCATAATTCCTGACTGCAGACCCAGGAGTAATCCCCGAGCATCACTGGGTATGATTAAAAAAAAACAGAAAAAAAGAAAAAATAGAAAAAGAAGATGGAACAATGGGCTAGAAATGCAGTGGCCTTTGAGAGCTGACAATGGCCCTAAACTGCCAGCCAGTAAGGAAACAGGAACGTTAATCCCAAAGCCTCCAGGAAATACATTCTGCCAATAACCTGAAAGAGCAGGAAACTGATCCTTCCCTTGCCCAGAAAGGAATGCAGCTCTGCAGACACCATGGACTGGACTTCTCACCCACAGAAGTCTTAAGATGTTATTTTAAGAAAAAAATTGGAGGGACTGTGGTCAACATCTGGCTGTGTTCAGGGCTTACTCCTGGCTCTGTGCTTAGGGAATCACTCATGGCGGGGTTCAGCAGACACTCTGCAATGCTAGGGATGGAACTGAGGTCACCTGCATGCAATGCACGTGCCCTACCCTATGTACTATAGTTCTGGTCCTATGGTAAATGCGTGTGGCTTTAAGCAGCTAGATTTGTGATCACTTGTTTAAGCATAAACAGATGGCAAGCACAATTCCTCTCACCTGGATACTTGCCTTTGTAATGCCTACCCTAGCAAACATTAAGCTTTCCAGAAAGTTCCTTCTGTCAGGGGCCTCATTCCTCTGCCTATAAGTCTTTCTCATAGCTCATATCCCAGCTCCTGGGGTCATGCTTTGTGAACCCTTCCTGCAACCAGGTGCCTGCCGTTTCCCACTCCTCTCCTCTGAGCTTTTTTTTTTTTGCTTTTTGGGTCACATCCAGTGATGCACAGGGGTTACTCCTGGCTTTGCACTCAGGAATTACTCCTGGTGGTGCTCAGGGGACCATACGGGATGCTGGGAATTGAACCCAGATCGGCCGCATGCAAGGCAAACATCCTATCCGCTGTGCTATCACTCCAGCCCCTCCTCTGAGCTTCTTGGGGCTGTTACCATCCCTGTATGTTCTCTTTCTTGGTCAGAGTAACACCTAGCCTGTATTACGTGCTTACTCTTGCCAGACATTGTTCCAATCAGCAGCAACACGACTTGTGAGGACAGTTTCCCTTGTTCTATGGTCAGACTGCCAAGGGTGGAATCTCAGAAACCCCACACCTGCTATTCACTGATAGGGTAGTCAGGGGCACATTCTTGAATGCGTGCCTCAAAGTTTCCATCTGTGAAATAGGAATCACAATAATACCACCTAACTTGCAAGGTGACTATATGAATTAAATATGCTCTGCCTGGGATGTAACAATTTCTTAATAAATGAGGCTCTGATTTGTTCCTAAGCCTTTATCTGCAATTTTCAAACTCCTAAAAGCTCTAAAACCCGGAAGCTTCCCTGTAGCCCTGTGGGCAGCAAAAACTGCTGTGAAATGAAAGGCCCCTTCTGGTCTTTATTGATCCCCATTTAGCATGACTATTCGTACATTTTGTGACTGTTCGTACATTTCACAGCAGAAATCTGAATGTGGCTGATTACCGAGCCCACTAAGGGTGTTATGTAACATCTTGTCTGTGCACCTTGTTATTTTCCTAAAATCTGAAAAATTTGAAATTCGGAAACATCTTGCCCCAAGGGTTCTGGATAAGGAACTGGAGCTCTGGACTGTTATCTTTACAGGTGCTGGCTCATTTTTCCTCTCCCCTAAAGTAGTAGGTACTCTTATTATCGCTAATTTGCTGGGGGGGAGGGAGGAGACCTGAGGCACAGAACTGCTGAGAGCCAGCTCCGGGCCCCACAGCTCTGAGAGGCAGAGCCAGGATTTGGGTGCACGCAGTCAGGCTCCAGCTGTTTAAGCTTCAGAAACATTAAGCTACACTCCCCTTCCCAGGGAGAAAAGGGCCTTCCCTGTCCCCTCATCGCAGTTCTCTGCTGAGAGTGAAATAAACATGAGCTTCCCATTTCTTCAAAGAATGAGCTTTCATCAGTCAACCAGCCACAGGGTGGAAGTGTTGGGTTAAGAATGAGGTACTCCAAATCAGAGGGTGCCTAGGAGGCCCCCTCTCCTTCCATTATAGCTTGACTTCTTTAATCTATAAGGAAATATACAGTATGTTCCTCTTATGGCTGAGCTGTTTTGAAGTTCACTCAGCAGAGGCACAATTTGAGGCAATTATACAAGTCACAAAGCTATGAAGTGTGTCCAGATCAGAGCGTCCTGCATCCAAGACCTCTTGCTGAGCTTATTTTCAAGGCCTGCTTATTTCTGAGGCTCAAAGAGTTTATTGGAGTCCTGGTGGCTAAGAGAGGCATTTTTACCAGTTCTTCTAACAGCTGCAACAGACTCTTGCCAGTGAAGGCGAAATTTGACAGTTTGCCTCAGTTTTAACGGCACACAGGGTTTTGTACTTGATTATCACATCTCCCCAGGAGCCTTAATGAGTTCCACTAATCTGCCTTCCTCAGACTGGTGACTACTTACTTCTCTTCATCTATTTATTTATTTTGCTTTTGGGGGGAGGTACACATGGCAGTGCCCAGGGATTATTCCTGGTGGGCTGAGGGACTGTTTGAGGTCCCAACAGTCCAACCCAGATCAGATGCATGCAAAGGCCTTACCAGCCTCCATCCTCTTCATCTGATTCATTTATTAAGCATTTACTAAGTATCCATTGTGGGCTGGTATTGGGGTGAGCAAAACAAAATCTCCTGCCTGAGTGGCATGCACATATTAGTATAGACAACATGAGAGAAGATAAACAAGTACAGGAGATGTCAGATATTGGGAAGAGCTGTGGGCAAAAATACAGCAGGGAAGGCATGGCTATATTTCAATGGGTCAAGAGGGCAGTCAAGGAAAAGTGCCATTTGAGCAAAGACATAAAAAAAGAGGAGTCATTGTGATCACACAGACAATAAGGGACAAGGTGGAGAAGATAGCCAGTGTGAAAGGCCCTGAAGCTAAGAAGCATCCCAAATGCCAAAGGAAGAGAAAGGTTTGCAGCATGGTGGGAGAAGGGGAGCAGGACACACGGGGGGCGGGGGGGGGGGGCAGACCCAGTAAGACTTTTTTTCTCTTTTCTTTTTGTTTTGGTTGTGAGCCATACCTGGCAATCCTCAGGGGCTGCTTCTGGCTCTGCATTTAGAAATCACTCCTAGTGGTGCTCAGGGGACCATATGGGATTCCAGGAATTATTGAATACCATATGAACCCAGGTTGGCTGCGTACAAGGCAAACCCAGCTGTGCTATCTCTCTGCATCTCAGTGTGGCTTTTGTCAGGCATTCTAAAGCACTTCAGTGTTGACTGTGAGTGAGACAGGGGCTATGACAGGGTTGTGAACAGAAAGGAGGACAGGCTGTCACCTGGACTGTCACCGGATCTCTTTGGCTGTTGTGAGAACTGAGTGGAGGGACTGAAGAGGCTTCTGCAAGAGTCCATCTGAAAGACGGCAGTGGCTGTAGCAGAACTTGAGAAGTAGCTGAACTCTGGACAAAATCTGAAGACACCGATTTGTGACCTAGACACCCAGTAGGTTGTAGCTGGGATCAAATGAAATGGTAGTGCTGTGGGGGGGAATGTTCTGAATAGAGGTAAAGGGGACGATTTTCGAACAGATCAGTCTCAGATGCCTCTCAGGCTATGAATAGAAGCATTTTAAAAACAGAAACCAGGGGCTGGAGCAAAAGCACAGCAGGTAGGGTGTTTGCCTTGCACGAGGCTGACTCAGGTTCGATTCCCAGCATCCCATATGGTCCCCTGAGCACTGCCAGGGGTAATTCCTGAGTGCAGAGCCAGGAGTAAACCCTGTGCATTGCCAGGTGTGAAAAGCACAAAAAAAAATCAGGAACCAGTTTTGTGTACTTGTACTGTGAACTGCTCAACATTTTCATAAACTCATTTATTTCTCAAGTGAATGCTATAGGTGGCCATCATTAGCCTCCTATTTTCCAGATGATAAAATGGAGACACAAGGAAGTTGAGTCACTTGCCCAAGGTTACAGCTGGAAGTTGGCAGAGTCAGGACTCAAACCCAGGCCATTTGGCTCCAGGCAGTGACCCTAGCCACCTTGTCACACCAGTCCACTATGGAAGAAAATAGAAGGGTAAGGAAGATCCTAGAGGGAGAGAAAGGTTATTTTATACAGGGTGAGCAAGAAGGCAGTGACCTCTTTTCTGGCTTTAAAAATTTTTGTGAGGGAAGAGGGGCCAAATCTGGCTGTGCTCAGGACTTATACCTGGCTCTGTGCTCTCCAGGATCAACTCCTATATGTGATGCCAGCAAAACTGGTCAGCCACATGCAAGGCCAGCACCTTACAGCACAGGGGGTATCCTGTATTCTCTCTCCAGCCCCGGAAGTGACATTTGAGCAGACTTGTTTTTCTATTTGTTTTGGGGTCATACCCAGTGGTACTCAAGGGAGCTTCTGGTGCCAGGACCAAATGCAGAGCTCTCCCGCAAGCAAAACATGTGCTTAGCCTGTTAAGCTTGCTTTCCGGCCCTGAGCAGACTTGAAGGAGGTCTTTTTAACTCCTGTAGCAAGCCTGGCTGACATCTGTGGAGAGGATGTGCTGAGACAAGGAACAGCATGCACAAAGATCTGAGGGGAGCATTAATTTGGCATGGTACATAATGGGCACCAGAATCCCTCCAGGTCCCACCTGTGAGTCTATGCACATGCTGTTCTCCTGGCCAGGTGTATCTTGCCCCCGTTCTTGTATGTGATGATCCCTTTATCTTAGGGAGTATGAATTCTTCCTCTGTGATCCAACACGTGGAATGACCTGTCTACCTGGCAAATTTGCTCTTTTTAGGTGGATGGTCTCATTCTCCTCTGCCCTATTGCAGTTTTGTTGCCTTGAGCAAATTACTCAACCTCTCTGTTTCCATTTCTAGAAAATGGGACTGTTTTACTCTCCAAAATAGCCTCAATATACACCAAGTCTCAAAGGATTCTGTGAATATTAAATATCCATATGTAAAAGATTTAGAAAAGTAGTTCTGGCACATGGTAAACATTCAACAAATGTCAGCTCTCAGTTACTGTGCAGGTCCTTCTCCCTCCCCACCAACCTTCCGTAGCACAGTGGCCATAATGATCTACATCCAATCCCCTCTTTGACCTCACCTCCAGCCTCTCCCTCTACCCTGCTCTAACCATACAGGCCTCCTCCTTCTTCCGTGAATGTACCAGGTGGAAACCCACCTCAGGACCTTTGCACTGGCTGTTAGTTTGACACTTAGAATAGTATGACTTCCTTTCCTTAACTCAACAGTTACCTCCTAAGTGAGGCTGCTCTAGGTACACAATCTAAACCAGTCCAATATTCTATTCTTACCTTTCCTACTGCATTTCCCCTCTTTAGCACTTGTCGAACATACAATTTAACTTTACTTATTTCTATCTCTATGACTTTCAGCAAATATCTGCCCCCACAGGAGCAGGAATTGCTTTTTGTCCCCTTTCACATCCCCAGCACCTGGAAGAGTGCCTGGAGCTCAGTTATCTGTTGAATGAACAGTCCCAGCTAACCTCTTAACTAGTTCATAAATGCCTTCTTCATTGCCATCTGTCTATCACCATTCCCTATTGGTCTGAAATGGTATTTTCCCCCTTAATTCTTGTAAACAATTTAGAGGGTCACACCCAGCAGTGATTAGGGCTTACTCCTGGCTCTGCACTCAGGGATCATTCCTGGTGAGGCTCAGGGGATGCTATGGGGTGCTTGGTTCAAACCCAGTTCAGCCACATGCAAGGCAAGAACCCTGGCCGCTATACTTTGTCCCCTCCCAAACAATTTGTTACTGATCACCTATTATATGTTAGATACAATTTTAGGTATTAGAGAGCCTGCACTGAATAATCAGACAAAAGCTATAAACAAAAGGCTAGCTTTGTCAAGTCCATGTACTCTTCTTGAATACGTATTCCTCTCTTTCTCTTTCCTCATGTCTAAGTAAATTTCTTCCAATAAAAATGATTTTGCTTCACAAAAAACACACCAAAAAAAAACCCCTATAAGGCAACATGAGGCTCCCATTCTAATGGGGTAAAAGCAGGACTAAAATGGTGAATTTATGTATCAAAAAAAAAGAAAAAGAAAAGAGGCAAATAAAGCAGAGAAGGAGCCTGATAACTGCTAATTGTGCTGGTTTATATGGTCATGGAAGGTTGGATAGTTCACCAGAGCCCTGAAAAGAACCATGCAGAGATTGGGGATGAATTTTCTCAGGTAGAAAAAAAAATAGCCAATGCAAAGACTTTAAGCAGGCTGGACCCAGTCCAATAAATTTGAGGATCGGGGAGGTCAGTCCAGCTGGAACAGAATTAGAAGGGGGAGGTGCCGGAAATAAGGGCACAGAGGTTACTTGTTTTATTATTAACTCACAGATATTTTTTTATTTACACCGAAAGATTTTTGCAAAGGAAACAGGTGCAGACAGTGGTTCAATCCCTTATCAAAGGTTACTGAGCTGCTAAAATTGGGGGTGGATGGATGCTGAGACAAGGTGAAGAATGGAGGCAGCTAGGCAGAAAGAGGGAACAGCAAACACAAACAGCTTATGGAGAGGAACCAGGTTGTTTTGTAAGGAGTGTGCTCTACTGTGCGCAGGGAAGAGAAGAGAGTGGAGGGATTCAAGAAAGACCACCAAACCTTGTAGCTATGGGGCTTCCTTTAAGACTACCTATGCCACGGTCTCCTCCTAAGAAATAAAATTATTTTACTAATAAGATCAATTCATTTTCTTCAACCTTTTTACATCTTCAGATTGGCACCTATCCGGCAGACTGGTCCACACAGACCAGCAGTTATAATCATGGTGATGGACCAACGGTTCTCAGCCTTTCTAGAACTGGCACTGGTCCGTGGACGACTGGTTGAAGACCACTGATAAAAAACACTTGACCTGATACAGAGTAGGTGCTCAAGAAATGTTAGTTCCTTCTGGCTTCATCATCACCAGAAATGTATTTACTTAGTGTGTAAGAGGTGGGGTGCATTTCAACTGCTGGTTCCTATCTGTAAAAAGATTGAAAGCCATTCTTCCAGAGTTAAAAAAAAATCTGGGTTCATCAAGCACACAGAGTGCTGACGGGAAAGACGTTGGTTTGATCCACCGCAAAGAAAGGGGAGGGAAATTTTTTTAAAAACACTCCATAGGCTGGTCCTCCTGGAGGGCCATTGCACCCTTGGGGAGAGGGTCGTGATGAGAGGTGCAAGAGGTGTAAGCTAGAGGGGAGCAGGAGGGCTGATGAACACACCAGCTACAAAAGCAGGGTGGGGGTGGTGGCAAGGCTCATCTTATTTACTGAAAGCAAGGGGAAAGGAAAACTGAGTGACTCCCGCACAACAGTGGAGGGGAGAAATTAGCCATCACACAGACTGGTTTAAAGGAGAGGGGGCACAAAGCCAGGGGCTGGGTTACTAAACCAGGGGAAATATGAAGCACGAAGCTGACCCTTATTAAAGGGGAGAAGCCCAGGAACAGAGCGACAGTCCACAAAAACATGAAGGAGAGCGAGGGCAATGGATTGGTAACTAGGGGGATGTGAATACAATCTCTGTAAAATGTGATAAAGCCATGGATTAATGCACAGAGGGGAAGTGGAGGAGGCAGGAATACAAATTCACAGATTAACTCACAGTAAAAGAGGGGTGGGGGAGTCACACCACCGCCTGCTTAACTACAAGGAACAGGAGAGATAAGACCAACAAGGGCACAGACGGGGGAGGGGTGGGGGGGGGGCGCTGAAAGTTGCGGACCGAAGAAATACGTTCAGATGCACCAACTGTCAAGGAGTTGGACAATGCCAGATAGTGCTCCCCTAACTAAAAGAGGGGGGCAAGACTATGGACGAATCCATTCTAAGGTGGGGTAAGGGAAACATTTAAGCTCGAGAGCCGATCCATTCTAAAACGGGGGTGGGGGTGGGGGTGGTCTTAAGCCATTGTCAGATCCACTCCAAGGGGCGAAAGTAGGGTCAAAGCACTGGCAAGTCCCCCAGCCGTGGTGTGGTAGTGGGGAGTTGACTATCCAGCTACGGACCAAGCCACAGCCCCTCCATGCGGGGGCGGTAAGGATTAGTGGGGTCACAGACCTGACCCTCCACCCTTTAGACTCCCGACTCACCTGTGCTAAGCGTAGCGGTGGTGTTGGCAGTTCGGGGGGGGCGGGGGCTCCATGCGCTGCCCCACCGCCCCCCTGGCCCCGGTTCCGAGGCGGCAGTAGCAGCGGTGGCGGCGGCAGCAGCACCTAAGAAGCCGCCCCTGCCTTTCCCCACAGCTCACGTGGGCCTTCGAAGGAGGAGCCCCTGCTTCACCGCTAGTTGATTGGCCAAAGTGGCTTAGCCTTCACCGAGAGGCTTCCGAAGCTGGGGAGGCGGGAGGATTCTGTGGAGCTAGGCAGTGATTGGCTCTAGCGCAACAGAGAGCTCACAAATGGTAACAGGCGCTCCGCGCTGATTGGCTTAGGGAAGACAGCTCGCTGAACAACTGACAACGTCCTGGGGGCGTCAGCCTTACCCAGACTGACGTATAAGGGGCTTGATGGATGACAGCTAGCCTACGGGAATAGGTGGTTGGGATTGTTTTCTGCTGATTGGCCGGCGCAGCTGCCAAAGACCACAGCCAAAACACCAACGGGGCGGTGCTGCACGCCACGCTGCCCAGCGGAAGCGGGACATTTATAGAAGTGGGTGTAGCAGCCGGCAGGGAGGGGGTCGGGCCAGGGGTCTGTGTAGGCGGGCAGGGTAACTCTATGGTGATTGGAGAGGAAAGACAAATTTAGAACCGTGCAGAGATAAGGAGGGCAGGACAGCTGACAGACACGCGAAGGAGCCGAGTGGCGGAATCTAAAGCCTACAAAGAGGGCAGGGTCGAGCCAGAATTATAAAGGGGAGGAACCTGGCTCTGCATTGATTGGTGGAAATTGGGCTCAACGTAAAATAGGGGCTGAACCAGGGAGGGCAGGGATCGGGCTCTGTGCCTATTGGTTGAACTACTTAGAAACTGGGGCAAGCCCATGGTAGGGCAGAGATAGACGTGGGTTTAATTTAAGGTACCCGAGGAACCATTCGGTTATGGCAGAAGTAAACCTAATTGGAGTGAAAAACTGATTGCCTTGGAGATCAGTTTCTACTGAGTTGGCCTAGTCTTTATGACAATGAGAAGTGGTGCCCAGGAAAAGTAATAGAAGGGCCTGGTGGGGGCCTAGGTTGCCAAGGCGACAAAAGAGAGGGCAGTGCACAAAGAGAAGCAGTGAATGCTGCCAGGCAACAGGCTGGAGGAGGAACTTAAGGAGTGCTTTAAGGTTTTCACACAAAGACTAGGTCTCTGGATCTCCTAATGACTTTGTGCATTGGAAACAGAGCACCTTGGTAATCAGCAGAGGTGAAGGAGGGGAAAGAAGGACCACGTGACTCAAAGGCATTCAGGCTCTTTAATATTGGGAGGCAGGAGAGGGGAGTGGAAGAAATCAGTGATGAGGGCTCTCTGGGAAACTCTGTAAACCCTGAAGTTCTCCAAGTCCCTGAAAAAGAAACAAAAGAAATTAAAGAGACTGGGTCCATGTATTTCTGATCTCCCTTCCCTCAGGGCCTGCCTAGCTTTCAGTTTGGCTTCAATTTACAAGGAAAGACGCCTTCTGGCCATCTCCTTTTCTCAGATCACCCACCACCCACACACATTTAGAGAAGAGTCTGAGAGTGAGGTGACTGTTCTCACCTCTAGCAACATGTGGATATGGGCCTTGATATTCATGGAATCCTTGGTCAGGCTGTTGCTGAGCCTGGAGAAAAGAAACAATGGGTCAAGTGGGCCTCACTTATGATCAAGTAGTGGGTGATGATTTCTTGTAACTTCAAGGACTGCCTGTGTCCCGGACATCTTACTACCAGACTTGCTCCTCTACAGTGATGCTTAGCTTCCAGCACTAATTTAAAGAGAGCTACCAAACGCCTTACTCTATGCCATGTATTTTCAGGAGCTACACTAGCAAATATAATCAACACAAATCTTAGCCTTATGAAGCTCAAATTCCCATTGAGATAAACATAAGTGATGGAATACAACATAGCAATATGTTATATGTGACAGATACAAAGAAAAATTAAACGATGAGGGGAGGACAAGAAGTACAGGAGTGGAGGTGATAATTCTAATGAGAGTGCTTGTTAGGGAGGGCTTTCCCAAGAAGTAGGGGCTGATAGTACAGGGGTTAAGGCCCTTGCCTTACATGCGGCTGACCCTGTTCCGATCTACAGCAGACCCCTGAGCATTGTTGGGCACAGCCTCAGCAGGCCCCGAGCCCTGTTGGGGTGATTTGGGTAATACCTGACACTGCTGGGCCCGAGAAGCACCGTATCCTCGGGCTTTTGCATTGCACTGCAGGGCCAGTTGGTTGAGAATCACTGGGAGGGGCTCCCAGGCTTCCTAAGCACTGCTTCCTGAGCACTGCTTGGGAGATTCCCCTACCCCAAAATGCCATTCAAGTAGACTTTAAATGAAGACAAAATGATATGGAGAATAGGTGATTATAAGCAAGGGCAGCAAATAAAAAGGTGCTAAAGTCGATGCCACCTAGGCCCAGCAAAGAGGCCTGTGTAGCCGGAGAAATGAAGTGGAGGCTGCAGGAGTTGAGGTCTGAGAGGTAAGTGGGGAAAACAGGGGTGTATCACCTACAAGGTCTTAGCTCTGGCTTTCCCTCCACTTGAGATAGAAGTGAGGAGAGGGCTATGCTAACAGAAGGGAGGTGAACTGACGAGGGTTTAAGAGAATCCACCTAGCTGCTGTGTGGGGGAACTAGCTGCAGATAAGGAGAGCTGGCATGCAAGCAGGAAATTCACTGATATGGGCCTGCCATAGTCCAGGTGAGAGACAGAGACTCAACCAAGTGGCAGCCACGGAGACAATGCGAAATTGGATTGGGGATTCAGTTTCAAGATACAGTCAATAGAATTTACTAAAGGAATTTAATTTAATTAAAATAAATTTAATTTACTAGAGGAATTTAATTTTAGTGCTGGGAATGTGAGAGTGAGAGAGAGTTCTCAAGGAAAACGACAAGGTCTGAGCAACTGGGAAGCTGGAGTTAGTTGCCTGAAACCACTTGAGCTCTGAATTACAGAGTTATATCAATTTCTTTTTTCCCTTTTTTCGGTGGGGGGGAGGCACAGCTGGCTATGCTTAGGGACTACTCCTGGCTCTGCACTCAGGAATCATTCCTGGTAATGCTCAGTGGACTATATATGGTGCCAGGGACTGAACCTGGGTCGACTGCTTGCATGACAAACTCTATCCACTGTACTATTGCTCCAGCCCTTCTTTTGTTTTTTTGGTAAAATGAGATAGCTTTTTATTGAATAAAACTTTTTAGAATAAAGGAAGTACGTGTTCAAGAGAGAATATGGGCTTGAAGAGCAAGCCCAAATAATCCATGCCTTATCTCTAATCATCTGGGCTAAGGACTCATTTATGTGAATCCTAATTAATAGAAAAGTTAAAGGAAGACCTTTCTGAAGAATAAAAAATTAACAATTTAGCAGCACGAAAGGGGGTTGTCTTTTCCACAAAAAGCCGAAGAAGGGGCAGGAGAGATAGTATAGCAGGTAAAGCTCTTGCCTTGCACATGGCTGACATAGTTTCCATTCCCGGCACTGCCTATGGCCTCCAAACACAACCAAGATCCCTGAGCAAAGAGCCAGGAGTAAGCAGTGAGCACCACCAGGGTGCCCAAGTGCTACCTTGCCAAAAAAAGCCCAAGAAACAGGAAAGATGTTTTGGAGGGGCAGTCATGGAAGCCAGAGTTTTAGAAATTAAATGAATGAAGGAAGTAAAGTGGTACAAGATAAGATCTAAAAGGTAGCAAGGGGCTAGCTCATATAAAGGTCTTAATATTATGAGGAATGCACATTCGGTTTTGCTGCACTGTCAATGCAAAGTCAGTTTGGACGACAAAAGAAATGTAGATGGCAACAAGAAAGAACACTAAACTAGAAAATAAGTAGCATTAATCCATTTATATATCTCATTACTTTTCCTGAAACTTTAAAAAATGTGGCCACCCTTGGCTGTGCCAAGGGTTTACTCCTGGCTCTGTGCTCAGGAATGACTCCTGGCTGTGTCTGGAGACCATAGACCATGGCACCATATGGAGTGCCAGTAACTGAACCCGGGTTGGCCATATGTTAGACAAGTACCCTACCTGCTGTACAATCTCTCTAGCCCCCTAAATTTTTCTTTTCAGTCCAGACCTTGCTCTGGAACTTGGGCCTCACAAGGTGCTGCTCCCCATCTGGTGATGGCAACTCCATTATTCCAGGTGCTCATCCAAAAGCCTGGACTCCTTTTTTCCATACAAAGGCAAGTGCCCTACCACTGAGATAATGACTCAGTTTTTCTTTTTCTACCTGCCCCTTCCCCATGCAATAAAGCATTCTATGTCAAATCACAATAGTCTGTCCCAGGCCATGTTTATTTACTCTTTGTCACCTGTGACACACAACTTCACTGATTCATTGTCTGTTTCTCTGAACATGCAAATTGTGCAAGGGCAAAGAGTATAGTCTGCTTTGTTCCCTATAATATCCCTAGGAACCCAAACTACATGTGCCACATAGTAGGCACCCAATGTATACTGAGTGAATAAGTAACTGATTACTCTGCTCAAAGGAACCACAACACCTCAAAAGATGGTTGAGTCTAGGTAAAAGGCCAGGAAATTAATGGAACATGGCATTGCAGACAAACAGAAATGCTTTAAGAATATCTGGGGTAAGGCTGGAGAGACAGCACAGTGGGTAGGGCATTTGCTTTGAACATGACCAACCTGAGTTTGATCCCTGACACTACTAGGGTCCTCAAGCACAAGCAGTAGTGATTCCTGAGCAGAGAGCCATGAGTAAGCCCTGGGTATGTGCTTGCTGAACACAGGACAGAACTTGACAAGATGAGTATCAAAAAATAAAATGAAATTAGATAATGATACCAATTTAGTCTTTATGGGGTCAGAGATGTAACTAAGGGGTAGAGCATGTTTCACCTGTGTAAGATCCTGGGTCTGATCCTATCCACCAAAATATAACCCCCCAGCCCAAACCCTCTATGCAAATCTGAGAGTTCCACACTTAAAGAGGAGAAAAATATAAAGCGCACCAAATGCTACTTGTAACATAAAAGGCATATGTTTGACTACTGCTAATTTAATACATAAGGCAGTATTAATAGTTTTATGATTATGCCTGACTGTGGGTATGGATTTGTATTCTTTCTGCATAATCGGGAAAAATATA